GTTGAGCGCTGGGCTAATGACCCACCTCGTAAAAATTAGATGTTACGAAACACAACATGGGCAACGCAGTGGTGCAGTAGGTAGTGTAGTTGCCTCACAGCAAGGTCACTAGGTTGCTGGTTCGAGCCTCGGCTGGGTCAGTTGGCATTCTTTGTGGAGTTGTGCATGTTCTCCCTGCAGGTTTCCTCTGGTACTCTGGTTTTCCTCACAGCCCAAAAACATGCGGTACAGGTGAATTGGGTAGGCTAAATTGTCCGTAGTGTATGAGTGTGGGTGTGAATGAACGTGTGTGGATGTTTCCCAGAGATGAGCTGCGGCTTGAAAGGCATCCGCTGTGTAAAAATGTGCTGGATAAGTTGGCGGTTCATTTCGCTGTGGCAACCCCGAATTAATAAAGGGACTAAGCTGAAAAGAAAATGAATGAAGCACAACATGGTTCAGCTAAATATCAACTTCGATATAATGGCTCTGGGAGAAAGCGAGTAAGTATTTCAAAAAGTTTCAAAACAGTTGCAGAAAAGAGCCCACTTCTGTATTATAGAATAAGGTGGATTATGACCCTGGTTTAATTTTTTAAAGTCCTACTGTAGTGAGTTTGGGTTAATTATTCTGCCCAGGCCTCCCATGATCCATAATAAAGTCTTTTTTTTCAGAGACATACATTTCTTATTGTTATATAATAAAATAACTGCATTCACACCTGTACTTGTTGGAACTACCTTACATGCCAATTTTAAACCATTACCATCAGCACGGCTTGAATTAAACAAAACCAAAGCCAGAGTTGGTCAGAATGTCTTCAAGTGGTTCACTGTGACATTTTGATGTTCTACCCCAGCTTTTTTTTTTTTCGATGCTTTAAAAGGTTGTAGTATGTGATTTCAAAAATCTAAAAGCATTCGCAAGTGGTATATCTTTTAAGAGAGTGAAATTCTGAACCATCGCCTTGAAACCTCTGCAGACTCCCACAATCCATCAAGACATTCAAAATGCTGGGAAAAATGTCAGATTTTGACATTCAAAAGAAAAAATCTCTGAGCCATCTTAATGTCATGTGTAAAGACTGTGAGATGGATTCCCTTTCGGAGGAATAATGATAAGAAAAAACACACGCATATACGAGTATATCAGGTGTTGTATTTATTTATTTATATTAAATTAAAAATATAGATTCAGGTAACAAAACTGTGAAACAGTATTTAAATGCTCTAGCTTCGGGGAATGGGAAAGCTGTGGTGGAGCAATTTACTTGTGACCAGTGCAGAAGATGGGCATCTCAGCTCTCCCTGTAGGCCTGGATCAAATATGACAACACTTGACTTTAGTTTTGACGAGCCGTCACTCAATAGCAACGTGGCCAAATGAACACTCCAGGCAATTAGTCCACTTGACAGCGTGAATAATACACACTGACTTCGGAATCCCACCATGGCGGATGTATTTGAGATGTCTGAGCTCAGGGACTCTGGGTGGTTTTTCACCTCGCAGCCCTCGGCTAAGCCTGAGCTCACGGTTCGCTTGGCTGCAGATGCGAAAGGAGATTGTGCATGAATATGAATTACATACTGAGAAAGAACTAGACGTTATACCGATGTGACCAGGACTAAAGCCTAAGTGAAGTTCAGAGAGATACAAATGCTATCGTCACACAGCCGCAGATTCCCCACGCTGGATTTCTGTACAAAAAGAGAGAATCATGGGGGTGGTAGGAAGGCTATACCTGACGAAAGAAAACATCTTTTACCTCTTGAGCATGAGGTTAAAGAATATACACACATACAAAAAAATTAAATAAAATGTCGGGCTACATAGTCACGAAAAAACACACCGAAGTACTAAAGGAACCTGCAAGATCTACAAAATCAAATATGTGCTGTTCAAATTACAGATATATACAGCCATCAAATAAGAATAACCGATCACACACAATAGAAGTGAACGAAACGTAATGAGAAAAACAAAAGGTCAGTCCAAAAAACCAAAAGAAGAGCATACGTTTCCCAGCTATTTACAAATACATCTGGCCAATTCGACTGTCTATAAAAATACTATTCACATTTTCTCATTGACGTACAGTAGTAAAATCATGAGGAACAACCATTCCAAATGTCACTGTTGCAGGAAGATGTTTTTCTTCCCATTTATTTGTGATATAAAATGACTTGTTTTATTATTTTTTTAATCTGTGCTTAGTCTACCAATGCTTTCCGACTACCTTGTCACATGCAAAAATCTGATCCAGTGAGCATATCAAAGGAAAATACAATGAGGAAAGGGGGTCAAATAAACGTGCTCATTTCCATCTATGATATGCAAATACATGATTAGATCAGATACTCAATAACACTGCTAATTTATTTAATCGCTGGCGTCAAACAATAAGTGTTGAAACACCATAAACACCCTAACAGTACTGTGATTATAATCTGAAACACACTGCATTTCATAAAGCTTATTGCCTCTCTATACTGTAAAACATATGATAGCAGGGTCAGTATAAAAACCCTAGCGAGGTGTAGGGTCTATTTAAACATGAAGGGGATTTTATGGGCTTAAATCATGTATATATTACAACTAGTTGAAAAAATGAGAGAGGAAATTATCAAAGGGTGAATTCACTAAACATTTGCACCACTTTTGCATGCAGATTTCTGAATTCAAAAGCTGATGCTCTTACAAATCAACCACATTCCAGTTCATAAAGGTAAAATAATTAAATGAATGCATTGTCATTGTTGTGTGCTTGTTTTTCTAATGTTACCGAGTGTTTTCTTTCTTGTTAGGAATATCTGAAGGATGTACAACACTGGAGAGGAAAAAAAAGCACTTATTGCTGTTATTTAGGCTGGACATCCAATCACAGGGAAGTGTAAAAAGGGAAGGCCAACTTCTATACTATAGATAGCCAGCCAGGTAAAAGAGATAGTCTCTATTTTTCATTTGCATTTCATTCATTCATTATTATTTTTTTCAACTTAGTTCTGTATTTATCAGGGGTTTCCACAGTGGAATGAACTTCCAAATATTCTGGCATGTGTTTTACGTATGCCCTTCATGCTGCAACCCAGTACTGGGAAACACCTAACCCAGAGGGAAACCCACACAAATATGGGAGGAACATGCAAACTCCACATAGAAATGCCAACTGGCCCACCCGAGGCTTAAACCAGTGCTAATCACAGAGCCACCATGCCGCCCTTTGCATTTATTCCCCTTATTTTGTATTTTATTTTGAGACTTAACTGAGCACTTAAGTGACATTGTATTTATTAATTTGTGCTGGATTAGCTTGTTGGCTGGTATCATAAATGTCGGCGCTTCTTCATGCACCAAAAATATTACTCATCATCTTTGTCAAATTGCATACCGTACTATAGTATATAATATAGTCATAGTATTTACACATTCGTATTTAAACAGTGTTTTATATTTCAGTTGTATACATAATGTTACAATGTTAGTGTTTTAAATGTCAGATTTGAATAAATAAAGAATAGAAGTAGATATTTAGGTAGGTGAAAATACTTTTTAGACCATCTATCATAAGACAAACACAAATATTTTAGATATCTGTTAAAACTTGTTTAAAATCAAAAACTGTTTTGTCATTTATTAGGCAAATATCAAACTGGGGTGCGTTTCCGGAAACCATCGTTAGCCAACTAAGTTCGTAAATTCAGTTGTTACAAAAACTGCATTGCAATCTTGTAAGTTTCCAACTACACCTCTAGAGCTTTAGTTAGAAGCAGAGTTCCTGGCTGTGTGCTATTCCCAGTTATCCCCCCTATGCCCTATTCCTTTTGAATGGTCTAATGTTTAAACTTGGAATGTTTTATGTCATTTTGAACGCAGCCGTGGCTCATGATGAAAGCTTTAGGTGACCTATTATTTAAAAGCTGAATTCACATCTCCAAAGCTTGTGAAAACAAAAATATGTAGCATACGTTAATGCTTTAAAAATAGGTTATTATTAAGAAATGTATCTGTACTGTATATTACATGGGCCTGTTGGTTAGATTTCTGAAGTGGTTTAAATGTGGGAAATAAAAATAAATAAATAAATAAATAAATATATATATATATATATATATATATATATATATAAATAAAAATATCCCACTTAAAAATAATAATAATAATAATAATAATTAATAATTTGTATTAATAATTTTTATTAATAATTTTTTCTCTAAAGAAGTTGTTACTCCACCCCGTTTAGAAAGTCATTATGGACTTTTTACATTATAACTAATGTGGGTCAAACTATGGATCTGCAATAAAGAAAGTATGGTTTTAAGAAACACTTGTCACTGCATCGTACTATGATATTTTAGTTGCGAGAAAAATAAATCTGTCCATCTAAACAATATGATACATAATAATATTAATAATATTGAGGTGTTTCACGATTTTCCAGCCTCTCTTATAAAAAAGACATCTAAAAATTCAGGGATGATTATATTTTTGTATAATAAATGCTGCTTTTGGTGCTTGACACATTTTTATTGGCCATTTTGAGTTTCAATTTTAGGTCAAATGTTAAGAATACACTATACACTATAATGACAAAGCAGGCAATATAGAATGCTCATGTAAGAGACAAACAACTGACAAATTCTGCATTTTGGTATTGGGATGATGGTCAAATCACCTAAACCCCTCAGGCCTGATCAAACACTGCATCCCAATAAACCAAGCTCTCAAGCTCCCACAGCTATGCTTTTTTAGATGAGCACAGAAAAGGTGCTCTCAGTTGGCTAAAAATCACATGGATGATTGACTTGATAAATTCAAATGCTGATTGTATGACAAACAGAAGTGTCTGAACTGCAGTGCTGGAGTTTAAACTTTTCTCCATTTTCCAAAACCAAGATCTGTAAGATTTGGATGTAAACACTGAATTTAGCACATTTTGTGGCCACGTATTGTTACCTTTTCTACATAATGGTTTTGATGAATCAGCCTTGTGTGCAAATAAACAACACTATCAGCAGCAGCAATTCATTCTTAGTGAACTCACCCTCAGATTTTTAATGCAACGTAAAAAAAAGCCTTCAACAGTATCTCACCACCATTCACATAATCTCCTTGCCCCTTCAGGAATATTTACTCAAGTTCATGTCAAGACGTCTGTCTCGTGTTCTTCTAGATTCTGCTAAAAGTGAGTCAGCAGTGAACAATGTGCGGCGAGACAGAATGTTTGTGCTCCATTCAAACCCCATTTCCCAGAGTTCCTACAACATGAAAATGTTTCCAAAGTCCCATTTGCTAACAGTCTCTGATGGCGAACGCCTTCGCAAATCATCTTCCTTTTATTTGAGGATCCTTTTCCCGGCGTTTTAGTCAAGTTGTTCCTCACTTTACCAGATCTTTACCCACCCTGTATTCACAGCAGCTGCTACATATCTGGATATTCAGACACCCTGATCTACGATGACGTTATCAGTAGCATATGCACATATATGTCTTTTATCTTGATTCAGAGAAAGATTATTCATCCCACAATAGTTCATCGAAAGCTTCAACCCTCTTGATAAGAGTATACACGAGGGTTTTTATGAAGGTTTCACTTCTTTGGGCTTTCATAACCTCAACTAAACCTAACCTAAAAACTATTTAAAAAGCCTTTCTCCTTGTTGGGTTTGTCATAAATACAAAACTGAGTGAATATAAATGAATAAAAATATAATTTGGCCATATTTCAATACTCTTTACGTACTTTAGAACTATTTTCCAAACACTATAGGAGCTAAAACAAAGCATCAGCTTTATTCTATAAAGGTGTCTAATATTATTGTTATAGGTAATCATTTACTGCACCTAAAATGCTGCTGCTCTAATTGCTTTCTTTTTAAAGTTAGAGATAAATACTTCAATTAGTAAACATCTGTGTTTGGCAAAATTGCTGCGCTTCACTAACATTCCCTGATTTTGCTTCCAATGGTGAGCCAAAAATGTCATCTGTCTAATCTGTTATCACATGGGAACAGCAGTACCCTCAATGAAAAGAGCTGCGCTCAATCTTTGTACGTTCGTTAATTAAAGTGCTCCACGTAACCGTAAACTTTCATATTCATAAGCACAAAATAAACAAAAAAATAAGTCATACAAAGGAAAAAAAACTGTGGGTGGGTGATGTTTGCTATGGTCATGTGAGCTATAATAGATGAGAATTCAGTCATTGCCGTTGGTGCGGCTGTGCCAGGCTGTTAAGTGCTATAAAACAATTTAACATTTCCAAACCAGCAACACAACATTATTATTATTATTATTAATATTCTCTCACCAGAAAAGCATAGTGACTGGCAGTGTTCAAAACTATACACAAATCTGGCCTTAGAAAGCGGGATGTAAGATGTAGCAAAGATGGTTTCCACCATTTGAGGAATATTCTGCATTATTATCCTAAACTTGTATCTTCATGAGATGCTTCTTACAGAAAAGTCATTATGGGAGACGGCTCAACTTGAGATGACAGATTTGAGTTTCATTTCTGACCTCAGGGCAAATATTCCAGTCATTTGTTCCTCACGATATTGTTTGATGGTACCACCATCATCTTGACTTCCAAATATCCCCCACTGTTGCAGTTTGAACCCAGCTAGAAAAAGCTGCAAACAAACATCTCCAATCGCACGTGTATAAAGTTTATATTATAACAGTTTTCCGGCCATTTCAGATGATGATCCAGACGTTGTCTGCTGTTAAGTCTTTCGTGCAAACCTGGGCCTCAGTAGCTGTGTAAATATCCATTCTCTGCCATACATCCACCTGCGCTTTCAGTCGCTAGTATTGATTTTAGCTTTGAAAGTTCAAGGTAGACCCGATCTGGGTTTTTCGTTCCACACATTAAATGACAAACTGAGGAAGGCTACCTTAAGGTGACAACTCCATGAGCGTACGGATCAATGCTGGCTGGATCGACAATAAAAATGTTATTACAGTAGACTGTTGCAGATCAGCTTTTATGAAGTTATTGATTTTTTGTGGCAAGCTGTTGTACCGTCTCGTTCATATGCGAGCTGATACTGTTCTCATCATGGAGTGTTTCTCTTCATCACGTGTTGGTATACAGTAGAGCAGTCGGAAAGTGTTCCAGTCTTACAAAACAGAATGAGGAAAGAGCGGCTCGATAGAAGTAATACATGGTGTCTTGTTTGAGCAAATAAAAACAAATGAATGGAGATACACTCTTTTGAAGACCTGCCATACGTGAAGGTCGCAGTTGACATCACATTACAATGAACACAATTTGTTGTATATAATAGCATACAGACAGGTCTGCCTCAATTAATAGCGACCCTTTAGGCTCTCTTGTCCCAGAATTATACTTCCAGGCTTTGCATCTGTCTCATGAAGTGCTAAACTACGCTAACTAAAGTCATAAATTACAACAGATCATATTATAGCTCGAAAATCAAATAACCAAAACAAAATCAATGGAATTGCACAAAAAGTGTTCCTCGGTCAGTACTTGCTTTCAATAAGATGAGCGTAACGTCTACCGTACGTCAGGAAGAGTTTCGTTGTTTCCAAAAGTTGGGAGGTCAAAGGTTTTAATGTTGAGAAGAGACAAGCAGGAAGAGGAGGTTTGACTGACGTGGCCATCTGTGACCGTTGCCTCTGGAGGAGAAGTTCACTCAAGCGGATCAGTTCCAGGTTGTAGGAGGTTGGGTGTTAAATCCAGTTTAGAGATTGGGATGCTGGTGTGAGAGCCAGAGTGACTCTCTCTTTACCTCCTTCTTTCCTTCGTTGTCTTGGCCGTTGTTGCTACACAACAGTGTTCCTCTGGCGGTATGGAGGCGGTGGCAACACAGTACCCGGTTTTAGCGCATAATCAGACAGATACTCCTGGTTCTCGGCCACCGCAGGTCGGATTCGACCATTTTGCCGGTAGAAAAAGCGTGTGCTGCAGTCCTGCAGATACTCCGGGTTGTGAAGAGTAGCCTTAGGGGGAAGACTGTGCTGCCAGTACTCAGGACTGTCAAATGTCTTTTTGGCCTTTAAGTCGGCCTTGATGGTTCCGGTGTGAGCAGGATGGAGAGTGTGCGTTGGGTGAAGAGCGTGTCCAGGATGGGCGGAGTGAAGAGTGTGGCCAGAGAGGGTGGAGATGCTTGGTTTGCCTTGGTAGAGGGGCTGTGTTGTGATGTGGGCACTGGATGCAGCTGGCTGCATGGTTTGGGAAAGGGTATGGTTGTTGGCTGTGATGGTATTCGCTGCTGCTACTGTTGCTGCTGCTGCCGCAGCTGTGTGCACCACAGGGACTCCGTTCTTCCTTAAAGCATCATGACTCTTCTCCCCAGTGTTATGAAAGGTGTTGAGGTACAGCGGGTCGTTAACGTACTCATCCTCCAACTTGGGCTGCCCATTGGAGGTGCTGTGGTAGCCTCGCTCCAAAGTGTGGACCTCTCCATTTCTGCGATGGGTGACGAAGGGGTTTTCCTCCACAGGATTGAGAAAATCTGTTATAGAAAAGAAAGAGCAGGAAGATAAGAAGAGGTGAGCAGACTGAGAACATTGTGTTCTAAGGTAAGGCTGACTACCATTGATCTTAGTTTTTCCTCTGCATATAACTCTCTGAAGTCCTAAAGATTGTTAATTCAGGTTCTGTCTGCAAAGATAATTGCTGAAGTATTTGTTAAAGGATTAGCTCACCCAAAAGTGAAAATGTACACACTATTTACTCAGCCTTATGTGGATCCAAACATTTAAGAGTTTCCTTATTCTGTTGAACACTAAACAAGAGATTTTGAAGAAAGATATAAACCTGTAGGAAATTGACTTCTATATGTAACAGAGGCCAGCTAGTAAGTGCTGCTCAGGTAAACCTCACTCCTCTGACCTCTAAAGGTGCTCTAGCGACAAACACTAGAGGCCATGGTCTTTAGCCTCCTTAGTAGAGCAACCGACTCCCATGTGGAAGGTTGGCGGTTCAATACCAGCTTGGAGCGGGTTGGGTGGTGTAGGACCGGCGGGGTTACACGAAGTAAGGAAAACAAATACTATGGAAGTCAATGGTTGTAGGCTTCAAAATATCTTATTTTGTGTTCGGCATAAGAATGAAAGTCAAACAGGTTTGCAACATGTAAAGGGTGAGTAAATGGTGTCAGCTTTGATATTTTTGTATGAAGTATCTCTTTTAACAAAGGCGTAGAATTGGCATGGACGAAGGGGACTACCAATATCCACTAATTACTAAAATGTCCAAACCAATAATTTAATCGACTTCAAAATAAAATAATTCTCTGTCAACCCTTACACGTGCACAAAGTCAAGTTCGCTATGAGTTCACTCTAATACTATTAACCAAGACTGTGCAATTAATTGAAATTCGGTTAAGGTTTTGGCCTACATGATTATGAAAAACAATAATAACAGTTAAATTGTGTCCCACACCTCTCCAAATTTATTTGCATTCATACCTCCCCAAAGGCCAACTGCAGTAAAATCACGTAAATTGACTTTTGCAGCATGGGAATTGATTGCTATTTGCATTATTAAGTGTTTATTTTATATTATTAAGTACTAAATTCCTGTTTTTAAAAGCAAAAAACTAAATTCGTGCTCTTCAATGTATGTGCTTTAGGGATGTATGTCCCCACCAATGTCAAGAACTAATCTACGTCCTTTTCTTTAAGTCTAAAGTATACTCGTTTTTTTATGTAAATGCTAGAGTCCATGTACAGTGCAAGCTAATAACTCTAATAATTTGAACTTTTAGATTAGAGAAGTAGTAATTATTATTTAAGGCACAAATTTACTTGTGAGCCTGTGCAAAGATTAATGCAAAATAGCCAAGCTTTAGTGTTTTTTTTTCATTCAATCTTAAAAACTTAGTTAAGACAAGATGCTGTAAAATGGTAATCATATTAATTAACTAATAGATGTCATTTTGAATAATCACCTCTGTTGATTAATGAGTACATAAAGACAATCATTTTGTCTAGCATGTTTTCTGAAATGTTGTTTAAACATGCAAACGAGAAATTATCTAATTACATTTGAACTAATTAGCATATTTTCCACAGCAAAAATATATTTTTTCAGTGGATACTTTTTTTTATTCACTTCATAAATCAAAATCATATCATCTATAGCCTAAAAATGATATTCATATTTGTAGGTAGAAAATGTTTCATGAATCCGGTGACTGGTATATTAACAAACCTCTAAAAAAATTAAAACTTAAAAATATAGATATGGATATAACTGAAAAAAGTTTGTGAATTTAAGTGAAGAAAAGATTTCTGCCTCAGTGCATGAAAAAAGAGCAACCTTTAAGAGTGACATTTTAAAACTGCGCCTAAAAAAATGTCTACCGTTGCTTTAGAGGTAAATAACCTTGGTTTGGTGTGCTGTAGCTACAGTAAACAGTGTGAAAAAATATAATGATTAGTTGTTTAGCATGGTTCGTAGAGTTAAACTAATAGGCTTTCCTCCCAGTTCTTACAATAGATTAAGTTACATTGCACAAAGAGTGTATTATTTCTGCATTGGTGTATTAACAAAACTGGCTTGAAACTTTTCTCATTAAATATGCATGAACCATAACAATTACAGAAACTTTTACAAGCACTATAAAGAGGAAAATCTGTAAGCATTTTAATTTAGTAATTCAATTACTATACACTACCTGACCAATGTCTTGTCGCCTATCCAAGCTTTAGGAACAACAAATAATAACTTGACCTCTAGTTGATCATTTGGTATCAGAAGTGGCTTATATGAAAAGCAAAGGCCTCTTAATTACACTTGTTTGATCAAAATACATGCAGTTTGCTGGAGAACTACAAATCCACCACATTATGGACTACAAATCCAGTCATGCACCACACACACACCTGGCCTAGATCCCCATGATTGCTGACAGACACAACTGAAGCTACAGGACACGTGACTGCATCCACACATCTCTGCAATGACTCAAATTACTTATTAATAAAGTCATCTGGAATGGCAAAGAAAGCATTCTTACAGGACGATTATATATATATATATATATATATATATATATATATATATATATATATATATATATATATATATATATATATATATATATATATATATAGAGATTTTTTTATATATATATATATATATATATATATATTTATTATTTATATGTATATGTGTGTGTGTGTGTGTGTGTGTATATATACACACACTCACTCGCTCACTCTCTCTCGGGCTGGGGAGGGTGCCGCTCTCTCTCTCTCTCTCTCTCTCT